TGGTGCCGCTCCAACAGAGACAGTTGCACAACTGTGAGGAACTTTCTGATTTATCGTCCAGCTGGCGTTCTTCGCTCTTGTGGAGGGACGTTCATTTGCCACTTCAGTGCTCAACGTTTACTGCTCTTGCTTTGGGTGAGTAGCCATTAAGTTAAAGGTTTGTCTGTAGGAGTGGTGCCTGATGGCAAAATGAGAATTGACCCTCCACCTCTACCACAATACTGTACCTCCCAAACCAGTCCATTCACTCCGACACTCTGGGAAGCGACAAACAAAATGACTCGTGTTCCCTCGTCCAAAAAAAAACAAAACACAAAACAAAAAACAGGAATGCAAACACATCATTTGTATAGAGAGACGAAAAGATATATATCAAGTGCTTTTAAAAAAAGCAAGTCCTTTTAGATTATAAACAGTGTGTATGATGTATATGTAGTAGCAAAAGCAAATAACTGTTAGGATAGCTTACCTTTTGAATGTTAGTTTGTGTTATTTATTAATATCTAAAATGTAGTTAAGAAATGTCATGATAATATATTAAAAATGTATTGTGTATATATACTGTATAACCTAAAGCAATGCCTTGTACTTGAATTTGGTGTTTTTTTACATTCTTCAAAAACTTCAGTGCTTGAACATGCATGAAATTTGTCTTCCAGGAGATTTTTTCATATTCAGACTGATCTTAGATGTTGTGTGCAATTTATTTCCTCCTTTTTTTTTCTTTGTTTATTTTTCTCATGGAGATGAAGACCCAAAGGAGTACTGTATTGTTTTTACATATATAGAGGCCTGGTGCTCAGTACTGAAACTATAAAAACATTACAGTTTCCTGTGTTTTCACGGAAGAGAATGAGTTGTTGCGGTAAATATGTTGATGAACTGGTGCTAGTTTCTCATTGAGTCTTTTAAGGGATCTGATGATAGTCACAATAAAGGCATCTAATATGTAGGTTCACTGGTTCACTGACCTCAGGTACGTCAATGTTAATTATTTCAGCTCCGTCTCTCATATGCCATGAAGTAACGGATTAAGAGAAATATATATAAAATGCCAACATCACCTTGGTATTATCCGCATGGTTACAATTTCAGGTTATGGATTTGCCAGAAAGTTTTGTTGTATTGGTTATGTTGTTACTGACCAAACAAAAAATGTATTAAAGCCACAAATTTTTGAATGAAATTTCTGTCCAATTTCCCCTCAATATTTTTGGCTTTACTTTTTTTAAGTGAAAAGGTCTGTATTTAGTCTTTATCTTAACTTAATACAAAAGTTGCAATTAAAATTTCAAATGTTATGTTCATAGCTTTGATAGTGTAGCTGCGCAGCTATTATTCTGAAGTTCATTGTACTGTCACAGCGTTTGGCACGCCTGTCTCTTTGGAGTGCTAGATGATTGTCAAAGTTACACATTTTAGATGATTATCAAGTGCACTTTTCTGTTCCCTTGAAATTTTGCGTTCCAATTTGTAAGCGGTGCATTGCCATTGTTCTTGTATTGTAATCACTCTCTATAACATCATAATACAGATCAGGCCATATCAACAGATGTACGGCGGTGATGGAGATGGTCTTCAATGCCATGTCTGTTCACCTGTTTATACAGCCATGCATTCAGGCAATAATAATGTGATATGCGGAAGGAATGCAATAAGTGTTGTCATTTGAATTTTAAATGTGTGATTTAAGCAAATAAACACCCTGCGACTCACACTTACACACATAAATTTAACAGTTTTTTTTTTCAGTTCATTAAAACAGTGATGGTTTTACATATAAATTCTCATCGTTAAAAGGCTTGAAAATGATCCTTCTCATCCAAGTAGAATCACAACGATTAAGAGACTGGGAGAAGATGGCCTGGCAGATGACCAAAGTGTGGCAGTGTTTATCTCTTTCTGCTGTTCTGAACACTCACCTAGTAGTTATTTGGATATTAGGATATCTTTCAGAAAAAAATTACACTTGACTGCAAATAATTAGTTTTTCTACAGTAATCGATATAAAAGCTCACAACCCATAAAGAAAATGTGGATAAATGTGGGGATTTCGAATAATCTCAGAGACTTAAATCTTTTGAATAGATCATCCAAACAGACTCTGATTCAATCACTGATTCAGATTTCAATCACTGATTCAGTTCACTTGCATTATTACACTAGTAGGAGAGCGATATGTGTGTTTGTCTGAAATTGCAAACTATATCCTTTTATAAAGGGAAGAGTGAATGGGGGTATAGGGGGCAATTTCGGATACAGCTGTTGTAAAACAGTTTTGAATCGCCCCCCATACCCTCATTCCTAAGATCACGTGATCACAAATGAAAATTGTTTCCTTGAATTGACCATCGTATGTTCCCTTCACTAACGGACTTCTGGAAGGGCCCTTCGTGAAGGGATTCATGTTCACTTTTATTTGGATGTCCCTACAAATGGCATCCCCTTCCCGAAGTGCCCTTCAAGGGTGCAAAAAAGCTGTGTGGAATTCGCTGATTGAGTGTACACCAGTTGTACACTCATTATTGTGGCGCATTATGGGATTGAATGAGCTCACTTGATAATGCCCACTATGGTTTTGAACACATCACTTGGCTGTCTCTTCAAATAGTGCATTATATATAGGTATAGGGAACAATTTCGGATATAGCCTGTTTTTTAATGAATCAGTTGACTGAACGATTCAAAACTGTTTTACAACAGCTGTATCCGAAATTGCCCCCTATACCCCCCATTCACTCTTCCCTATACTTTTGTCCACTAATATAGTCCACTTAATGAGTGGATGAAAACAAGTGAGTGGATTCGGACAAGAGTGTGTCGAAGTGCTGCAGAGGTGGTGTATTATGGGATTGAATGTGCACACAATGTCTATATGGTTTTGGATATTACCTCCAGACACCTAACCCACACATAGTGCCCTATAAAAGGATATAGTTTGCAATTTCAGACACAAACACACATATCGCTCTCCTACAAGTGTAATAATGCAAGTGAACTGAATCAGTGATTGAAATCTGAATCATTTTTGGGTGAACTGTCCCTTTAAATAGGTTAATTAAGGTTTATATATGCTAGTTTGGAGCTGCCAGATTGCTTTGTTTCAAATAATCAGTAAACATCAAGCACAAAAGCGGCAGCCCTTCCAGTGCACTCAGTGTCTGAATTTGCTCTCTCATTTTTATTCACTCCTTCATTGCATTATATTTGAGGACTAACGTAAGGAATGTTTTGCTGTTGTGAATAATTCAGTCAACTGATTCATTGAGTCGTTTACGACCGAAAGTAACTAGATACAGTGTTTCAATTAGGTCACTTACCTTTAATTGTGTGTTCATGGTCATCAGTTGATTTGACAAATTCATAATTATTTTTGTGATAGACACTGTCTGTACTTAACAAACGACATGCCATCACCCATTTCTGCAGATCTTCTTTCTTGAATGAGATGCCTCGTTCAGAATTCAGCAGAATCAGATGCCTTCAGTGTTGAAACGCGACTCGTTCAGTGAATGGGGCGTATTCGGTATATAGATTAAACCAATTAAATGCTCCTTCACAGCCTGCGCTCAAACGCTATTGGCTAGTGTTTGTCTTCTGAGACAGGTAGACAAACGATTCAAAAGGAGGCCTTCAGACCCCAAATTTGGAGATAAAAAATATGCCTGCTGTTGTCACTGAGAATTCTCGTCTTTTTCGGATAAATTAACGTTTCTTCCCCCCATATTCGTAGTACAAAATCTTACATATAGGCCTTTGTCATTAGTTCTCAGATTTTAACTTTTGTTGAGCTGCACCATCTGTTTATGAAATAATAATTGAACATGTGAACCATTTCTCATACAAACACTTCTCGAATCTAATAAAAACCAAAGCACTTAATTCATTGAGGCTGAACCATCATCTACCCTGTTATTTAACACTGAAGAGGTTAAATGCAGGTTAATATATAAATGTGATGTTGCCTTTTGACCACTAGATGGCGGCCTATCACCTCTGCAGAACCCGGATTTGGCGCCTTTACCAAGTGTAAAGGTAACTTGCTTAATGCTAACAAACCACAGTTGCTACAGTTATAGTTACGAATGTAAAATCATTATAAATTATTATGGGATCTCCTTTAAGCTTTCCAGTTTCCAGCATTTGCTAATGCCAAGTTATCACAGTTGTATAGTAGCAACCATAAATTTAGTTTACCACAGTACATTTCTATTCTGCTAGACTTCACCTCAGATTTCATGAAGTGTGTATCATAATGTATCAGTGTACATGGTATGTTTTGTTACCTTTCAGATAATATGATGTCTTTGGGCTATGTGAGCTGTGTTTCTGTGTCAGACTGGTCCACACCTCATGTCCTCATCAGCTTATGTCCTACAATGGTTGGAATCTATAGAGTTCATTATATGAACATGGTATTTTTTGTCCATTTAGCTGTTTTTGCTTTCTATCAATAGGCCAGAGCCTTAGGCCTGATTATACAACTTATGACAGGTATATTTTTTTCAATATTTATTTCAGAACTTCAGAAAATTAACAAGCTCATTTAGTTTCAGACATGTACATTCGATTGCATTTTCTCACTTAATCCTAACTATGCATTTTAATCCTTGTGTCACCATATATCATTGAAAGGCTTTTCAACCTATGTGCTGTCTTTCTTGTCTCCAGTTTCCTGCCCTTTTTGTAGACTCTTTCAAAAAAACCCTGTAGCTATCTAGGGCAATTATGCGTCACCTCAAATCCTTCAATTGCGATTTGGCAACTCTTCTCTCATCGCCATTGATTGCAGTGACAGCGCGCCTATGAGCTCACCTGACCGTAGTGGGTGTGGCCTGCTATGATGCCACTGCACCTCCAACAGCAGCACAACCAATCATCTGTCAACACTCCAAATATGGAAAGGTCCTAACCCTTTAAAGAGCAGGTGAAGCATAAATAGCCTTTATTTCCCTCCCGATGTGTGTGTAGAGTCTCTCTGTCT